TGTTACTGCTTTGCTTTTGTGATACACATTTTCTTATTTGGGGGCATTGCCTCTTGGTTGTTCCCTTGTGGGTTTGTGGCACACATTTGTACCTGGTTCTGTCTTCCTCAGTTTCTTGTTAAAGAAAGTATTCAAATTTCTGACCTTGGTTAACACTGAAATTTGAATATTCTTCTTTTGTTTAGGTGAGTATGTGGCTTTGAGAGAGACTGAATACCCATCATGTATGGGTATAAGTGTAAGTATTTTCTAAGGGGAAATATCTGCGTAGAAAGTACATTTTGGTCTGTTCCTTCAGTGGAAAAACTCTGTGTGACCAGGCCAGCATGCATGTTCCTATTATTATTTCACTTGTGTATTAGGAAACATGTTGTTGGAAAAACAGTTGATGGGTATCATAGATTAGTTCTGCCTGGTTATGCCTGAGTGTTCAACAAACTGCAGTGTGTTAGATGTGAATCCAAAAAGCCATGCTATGCTTGCTGTGCTGTGCAGTTCACATAGATATAGTTAGGGAAGTCTCTGTTCTATAATTCTCTTTAAGCAGTGCCATGTTCTCAAATTGGACACACTTTACTAGTAATACAAAAAAAAATACTTTGTCTTTAACAAATTTCTTATGAGGTGAATATTTCTGTGTGCCATTGTTTTTGAATAATGAACTCAATTTGGGTTTAAATGGGCTGTCCTGACTTAAGAGTGCAAAAAGAAAAATTTAGGCTGAAGATCCATCTTGTGTTCTCTCGTAAAATTCTTTGTGATCTGCAATACACCATAAATGCAGGAGACTCTTGTAAGTCAGTGTTTGGATGAGTCTAGAGTGTATTGATGTGTGGAAAAATCAACATTAAGTGAATGAAGGGCTTTTAAGAAGCCTATTATAACCACTTATAATGGAAAATGTAGTTCCCATTAGAGTTTGATTTAAGGAGCTTTGGTTCTTCACTGAAGCATGAAAGCTGCTGTGTGATGCTCTGTGCAAATCATTTTTGTAGCATCTACTGCCTACCTCTTTCTGGTTAATCTGCTCCTGTGTTTAAAATAGAAAGGACTGAATCTGCCTTGTTTAAGGAATTAATTCACAGAAACTTAAAAGAAACCATAGATTATCATATTTTTATTTATCTAATAGAATATTGAAAAATAAAATGAAAGCTTTACTTGGTCTAAGCAGACACAGCAGCACCAGTTGTTGATCTTAGGATCATGTAATCTGTTTCTCTTCTGCTTAGTTTTGTCAGTGTTTTTCTACTGGAATCAAATATTAGTTTCTGGCTCAGCTTGCAATATAAAAATGTACCAATTAGATTGTTATGACTTCATTTTTATTCATGAGGAAAAACTCAATAAACAGATCATTATGTGTTTTTGGCATGTAGGAGAGGAATTTCAAAATAAGCCACCTGGCCCCAGGCATGGTTGGGAGCCCTGGATTCTATTCCTTCAGGAATCTGAAAGAAGCTGGCATGAGTCTATATTCCCCATCCTCAAGTAATTATTAATTTGAGAGGAATCCTTCCATTTTTTTTAGATTTTTATGAACCTTTATTTTATTCATTTATTTATATGTGGTACTTAGAATTGAACCTAGTGCCTCACAAATGCCAGGCAAGCACTCTGCCACTGAGTCACAACCCCAGCCCAAATCCTTCCATTTTTATTGATCTGCTGTATAGTTGACCTTATCTCCAATTCTGAATTAATTTAGCTCTTATACGGATTTTCTATCTACTTTGGTGCCTGGTTTTTAGGGAAGTACAAGGAAACAGTGAGACTTGGTGGTGATGTTTGACTTGAAGGGAGCTATGGTTTGGAGCTGAGGAGGCTAGGTGAAGTGACCTTGTCACACAGTGTGTGACAAAGTGTAAGACACAGTGTGTGTGTCTCATGGGAATTGACAAGTAACATGTGAAGTAAGTTCCTGATGAAGAGAGAGAAGAGCACATCAGTGGAATTAGGCCTTCTGATAGATCTGGTAGGAAAAGGAGGAGAACATGACTACCTCAAGTTTGGGGAAAGAGTAAGATAAAGGTTAAGAATTGAGGAAGAGCCCAGTGGGTTCACCCCACAGTGAGAGACTCTTGTCCAGAGTCAGACACTCAGCCACCATCTTTCCTTTTTCTTCTTTCTTTCGTCATCCAAATTCTTGGATGAGTTTTAATTACCTCAACTAATTGTAGCATGGCTACCACATCCACTGCCCCACAGATTGGAGGTCTTCAAGGACCCCCTCCCACAAAGGCCAGCTCCATTTGTTTTAACCTGCAGAGTCTGTGTTGAGGCACTAGATGTTGTAGATTCCACACCACTTTTTCTAGTTCATCTACAGTTCCTTTCTGGCCCCAAAGGTTACTGAAAAACACTGAAATGTACACGAATTTAGATTAAAATCCCTGTTCCACTGAAGCTAGTGTTGTTGAATTAGGGAAATTAAGGCATCTCTCAGCTTTAGCTTAATGGAAATAAAGATATCTGAATCATCATGTGGTTAGAAGAATTAATAGAAATAACATGGAGAGTATATTGAAATAAATGACATGGTAAACAGGCATCAGGGGCCATTCCCTTTCCCTACCTGGTGACCACTCTCTCTTTCTTGCCTTTTGACTCCCGTTCTGTTGATTCCATTCCCTCCTGCTGGAACTCCTTCTCTCTCTTCTTTACCTATTGAAATATCCTAACCACCTTGAAAGGTTGATTTTGTCACCTTAATCAAAGTTGAGCTTTGCATGTTCTAGATTCCCAGTTTTATTCATTGGCAAGCTCCAACTTACTACCCTACATTTTAGTTATTTGTCCATGTCTTTTTTTTTTCCACTGGGTGATAAGCTCCTTGACAGCAGAGCCATGTCAGGGACATAGCGATGGACAGTAAGAGCTGGGACTGTCTCCCATGGTTCCATAGGATCTTGTGCATAACTGTCAAGCTCCCAGGATGATCTCATCTTTGTTTTTTTTCCTTTTTTCCTAACTACAACCATATGCTGGTAAATTTTATTTTTTTTTCTCTTGCTCTCACTGCCCTCCTGTGCTTTTGATGTCATCAAATGTCTGGTGAATCATCTTGGGATGGCCATCCATAGGCACCTCAAAGGCAACATGCCAAAAATCGATTTCTCACCTTCTTCTGACCCTGATGCCACACACAGTCTGCCCTCTTCTTGTGTATTGTATTTTATCTCTCCTCTCATAGTCCACCTGGTCCCTGAAGCAGAGAGGTAGAGGGCCTTCTGGAAGTCTTTCCTTTCCTATCTTGTCTGTATGGAATGGGTCACCAAATTCCAACTCATTTGTCCCCTAAGAATTTCATGAATCCATTTCCCCTCTTTCTGGATTAGCTACTGCTGCCTATGTTTGGGTCTTGCTCTCTTCACTAGTTTTACTGTGATTTCTTTCTAATCCATCTACTTCACCTTCTTAATCCTTCAAGTCCATCCTCTAGCTCTGTATGTCATTATGCCACATTCCCTCATGAAAACCCCATTGTATGTCATGAACTGGCTCTGATCAGTTTGGTAATGGCTACTAGAAGTGCTTCTGTGGGGTTCAGCATGATCTCTCAGTAAGAGCCAGTGGGTGCAGTGAAGAAGCAGGTAGCACATGATATAGAGTTAGGGTTAAAGTCCTCTCTGACCTTGATCCTTCCGTGCCTTTACCTTCAGCTCCCACTGTAACTCCACTTCACAGTGGACCCTGGAGTAGCAGGGAACTATTGTGTTCTTATTCAAGACAGAGCTGCTTCCTCTGATCCTTACCTGGGAAGCCACACTTACAACCTTAGTGTGTGTGTGACCAGGGCACAGAGTGGACCCTACATGAAGCTCAAGTATTCTTGTTTTAAATATTTGTGTTTTTAATTGTCAAAATGTGTATATTTATAATGTACCACATGATATTTTGAAATATGTACCTTGTGGCTAAAATGGAGCTAATTAAGTGTTTGTCCTATAGCTCTTGCCTACTTCGCAACCTCATTGTCTTGAAATCCTGTCTCCCTCATCAGACTGTGATTTCTTGTAGAGGACATATCTTGTCTCATTTGCCCTTGAACACTGGGACTTACCATAGTACTTTTCATGTGATATGTATTGTGGATTAAATGGTGTATTATATTGAAATGAATAAACAAATTTGAAGTTTTAAGTATAACTTTGCTTTTTTAAATTTAAATTTGATTAGTGAACATATTTTTGCTTCAAGGCAAAAGGAGAGATTTTAGGAGTGTTAATGCTCTGCAGGAAATTTCATTTGGGGAAGCTGGTAATAAGTAGACATTGGAAATTTTTGAGCAGGGGAATAGCATGATGAAAGTGGTATTTAAGGAAGATTGATCTGGAGACAACCTTTCATTATAGGTTTAAACCACTGCTGGCAAGCAGAGGTGAGGGTGTAAGGCAGTGGGGAGAGGCAGGCATATAAAGCTATTCTGAAGAATAGCTTCTTAAGTCTTTGAACTTTCATTTCCACATTTGTTCAAATGGGATGTACTTGCTGGCATGTTACTGAAACTAAAATAGAATGCTGAAGTTATTTTATTTTTAAAGAAAAAACATTCTTGTAAACACCTAAGTGAGCCATTTTGCATAATTATCTATGAGACATATTCGTTATTAATTACTTGTAAATAGTGATTATGAATTCAATATTAAAAAAATTGCATCTGCACCACTAGACTACAATCTTTTATATTAGTGAAGGTTTTCATTTTAGACATTTTGAAATAAATTCTTAACTACGAGAAAAATAGTTTGGTTTTCCATAAGCATTTTGCTATGTGGCTTAACATCTCTGTTCTAATTATAGGGGTGTGTGTGTGTGTGTGTGTGTGTGCTTTTTCCCCCAAGGGGCATTTTCATTTTACATTTGGCTCATGTGACTCTGTTCCTGGTTAAAGTTTATCCTTCATTTGTTTTGGCCATGTAGCTCTCCTGTGCTTTATTCTTCACATTGGCCATTATAAACTTTTAAATTTATAGTTGCTTTGTTATTTTTTATTACAGGGCTATGACTTATTGATTAAAGCGAAGGATTTTCCAAATATTTTGCACTTTCATTGTGTATTATGGATACCAAGGAAGAGAAGAAGGAACGGAAACAAAGCTACTTTGCTCGGTAAGCATTCTTTTGCAAAATTGTATCAGTGCTTTAAAAACAAAATATTCGTGTTCTGAGACTGATTATAAACACAGCAAGTAACCAGTGGAAATTAAAATACTTACTTTGTCCTTTTTAAATTAATAGTAGAGGAATAATATTTGGTTCTTCTTTTTCTGTCTTCGGTAATTCTTTCAGGCTAATGGTGCTCAGGGACTGCAGCTGACCTGCAGATTGCTCTGAACCCCGTGTTTAGAAACACACCTTGAATTTCAGTCCATCATATGCTCAGTTCTTGCTATTCTGTAGCTTAATTGGTTGAGCTATAACTAAAAATTATGTCATATTGAAAGCTTACCACCTTGTGGGGAGGTCAGGACTAAAAAAGTATTTTTGTAGGTAAGTTGAATGGCTGAAATGATATCATTAGTGACAGGGTAATTTTTAAGGATTGAGCTTGACCAGCATACAAACATTTCTTGTTATCCAAATAATAGTTATCTAGTGTATGACAGGCTATGATTTATAGATTTAAACATCTATATGCAGCCACTCAATAATCAGAATAAAATGAACAAAATATTAAAACATTTAGAAATCATTTTAGTAGTCAGAATGCAAAAGTTTTTTGTTGATATATTTATCTAGAAATTAAGCTGGATTTTAGATTGTTAATAGGAAAATGAGGAAAACAATTTAAAGATTCGCTATGTATAAGTGTTTTATTTATTATTTTATTTATACTCGAAATAAACCTATGACATAGATTACTTTATCTTCATTTTATCAGTGAGTTAACTAAGATTCAGAAAGTAAGCATTCTTCTATACATTTCATATAGCCTAAGAATCAGTATTCAAACAGAGGGCTGTCTCCAATGGGTGTGCCCCAATGAAAAATAAGAAATCATAAATAAGAAGTGTAGGAATCCAAAAGTCAAACTACTTATTATAGCAAAATGTTTTTCATTATCTGGACTACAGAAAGTAACAAGATTGGAGAAAGAAGAAGTCAGGCATGTGATAGATGAGACATTAGGAGAATGGGATATTTAGAATAAAAAGAACTATATAACTTTTTATGTTGAGATAATTTAATTTCACATGTAATTGTAAGAACTATTAGAGAGATATCCTATATCCTTCATTCAGTTTCCCCAGTGAAAAGATCTTGCAATATAATGTGATAATGTGATATAATATCACAACTAGAAATTTGATATTAATACGGTCTACCAACTCTATTCAGATTTCACCAGGTTTACAGGCATTCATTGTGTGTCTTTGTACATATTTAGTTCTATGCAGTTTGTCGGGGGAGGGAATGGTTATAGGGATTGAACTCATGGGTACTCCACCACTGAGCCACATCCCTAACCCTATTTTGTATTTTATTTAGAGACAGGATCTCAGTGAGTTGCTTAGTGCTTCACTTTTCTAAGGCTGGCTTTGAACTAACTTTCTATCCTCTTGCTTCAGCCTCCAGAGCTGCTGGGATTACAGGCATGCGCCACCATGCCCAGTTATGCAGTTTTATCACAGGTGTAGACTTGTGTTTTACCATAACATCAAGACACAGAGCAGTTCCAAAAACAGTATCCCATGTACTACCCTTTTGTAGCCATATTCACCTCCCTCCCTCTACCTGACACCCCCTACGACTGCCAGTTTGTTCTCAATCTCTGTAACTTGATAAATCAGGTTACATATTCCATATTGCATGAATGGACTCATATCATAAATAACCTTTGGTATTAGGCTTTCTCAATCTGTAGTTTCCTTGAGATCCATCCAAGCCGCTGGATGTATCAAGAGTTTGTTCCTTTGTATTGCTAAGTAGTGTTCCATGGTAAGGATGTATTACAGCTTTTTCATCATTCTTCCATTGAAGAACACTGGGTCATTTCCAGCTTTGTAACAAACAAAGCTGCTTAGGATGAGTGTGTAAGTTTTTGTGTGAATATAACATTTTCATTTCCCAGGAATAAATGCCCAAAGGTATAATTGCTGGATCAAATGATAAGTATATGTTTGATTTTGTAAGAAACCGCCATACTCTTTTCCAGAATGGTTGGACCATTTGACATTCCCTTCAGCAATGTATGAGTTATCTAGTTTCTCTGTTACCAGTATTTGGTAGTAAGACTATTTTAATTTTAGTCATTCTGATGATGTAGTAATATCTTATTATGGTTTTAGTTGTATTTCTGTAATGGCTAATAAAGTTAAATATATATTATCAAGTGTTTATTAGCCATCTGTATATCTTCTTCAGTAGAAATTTCTTTTCAAGTCCTTTGTAGTTGAAGTTTTTACTGCTAAATTTGAGAGTTCTTTATAATAGTCTAGATATTAGCCCTTTGTCAGCTATGTGGTCTGCAAATATTTCTCCTGGTCTGAAGTTTGTTTTTTCACCTTATTAATTGAGTCTTTTGCAGAACAAAAAGTTTAAATTTGATATGGTTCAATTTATTAATTCCCCCATTTATGATTGTTTTTGGTGTCATATATATTTCTTTGCCTAGCTCCAGGTTCTAAAGATTTTTCCCTAAAAGTTTTTTTTTTAATTTTTAAAAAATATTTATTTTTTAGTTGTACTTGGACACAATACCTTTATTTTATTTATTGATTTTTATCTGGTGCTGAGGATTGAACCCAAGACCTGGCACATGCTAGGTGAGCGCTCTGCCGCTGAGCCACAACCCCAGCCCCCTAAAAGTTTTATAATATTTTGTTTCATATCTAAGTCTATAATCCATCTTGAGATAATTTTTGGGTGAATTTAGGTCAAACTTATTTTCTTCTTATTCTTCTCTCTCTCTCTCTTTTTTTTCCTATAGATGCCCTTCATAGTGATTTTTAAAAACTGTTGTGCTTTCTCGGTTTGAATTGAAAATAATTTTAAAGCTTCCCATAGTAAGGGTTATTGGTGGTTCACTAATAACCTGCTCTATGTTAAGTTTTTCTTGTCCCTAAAATGTACAATAAGGGAAGAACCTAAATTGAGAATACAAACCAAAACTCTTCTGGAAAAACAGCAGAGTTTATTTATTTATTTATTTATTTTCAGCTCAGGAAAGTCAAATTTATTTGTCAGACTTACTGTGACCTCTTTTGACAAATATTCTAACAATAAAAAAAATAAAAAATGCTTAAGTGTGACCTTGGGAGTATAGGAACATATCAACAAGGACAAAAATTAGTGCTGAGAGTCAACACAATTTGTCCCAATGAAATAAAAGAATGAGAGCTAAGGAGAGAGAAAAGGAGAGAGACCAACAAACCCTGGGCTCAATCCCTTAACAAAGAGGAGGACCAGAGATGGATGGTTTAGCTGTGGAATGGAAGCCAGAAATGGTCAAACTAGTAAAAGCAAAAACAAAGAAAGAAAAACATCATCAAAGAAGAAGCAAAGTTATAAATCTTTTCCAATGCCTTCTGATGAAACTGGAATTATCATAGAATCAATAGGGGAATTATCAATGGAATTTACTTGAGAGCCAGTTTCTTACAACATAGGGCATATTTTTCTAGAGCAGTGTACCTGAGGGCAGTCCAAGCAAGTTCCCTGGAGTGAAATGTAAAGTCAGGCCAAGGGTAATTGATGCAATCAGTTTTCTCTAAACTAAATTGCACCACCTTACACAAATCTCTCCTGGTGTTCAGAGGAAATCCAAATGAAGATTTGTCCTCATGCTCTGCATGTTACCACAATTATGTATCTGGAATCCTAAAATTGCTTTTAAACTCTTTTCTTTCTTCCCCCTTCCCTATTTTCCTCCTATTTTAGTCAGTTTTTCATCATTGTGATAAATACCTGAGAAAACTAACTTAGAGGAGGAAAAGTGTCTTTTAACTTGTGATTTCAATGGTCTCAGTCCATGTTCAAAGGGCTGCATTGCTCTGGGGCCAAGGTGAGGCAGACCATCCTGGAAGAAGGGGATAGCAGAGGAAAGATGCTCATGGTAACTGAGAAGCAGAAAGACAGACACAGGAAGGGGCCAGGGACAGAAAACAGTCCCCAAAGCTATACCCCCAGTGACCTAGTCCTCCAGCCATATCCTACCTGCTTATAGTTTTCACCACCTTCCAGTAGTCTATTCGGATCGTTAGTCCATCAAACAGATTAACTTACAGATGAGGTTAGAGCCTTCATGCTCCTATCACCCACCAAACCCCACATTGCTGCTTTGGGGACCAAGTCTTCAGTATCATCTTTGCGGGGACTTCCAGATCCAAACTATAATAACTCCGGAGTGGCTAAATAGTCAACATTTTCTTTGTGTACTATCTTTTATGTGATTTCATCAACATTGTATGACTGTTATTTGATAAATAATTTCTTACCATACCGCCTTCATTGATGTTCCCCCCAATTCAATTTAATATTGAAGTGAGGTGAAGTTTTAAAAGACCTTATTTTGATAATTTCAGATTGGAATTAGTGATTCAAGAGTCTCCTAACCCTCCTTTCTTACAGCACATTTTGAAATATGCCTGTGTAATTCTATATAGAAAGGCAAATTAATATTGTCAGTAGGTAGGTTTATTCTGGGTGAGTTCTGCTGAGTGTTCAGAAGTCCCTGACCTTGGCCCATCTAATTTTTATCAGTTTCAGTGTAGTTTTTTAGTAGTTGTTCATTCCAAATGAAAAAATTCAAGTGATCTTTTTTCTATGCTTTTTGCAAAGAATTTGTATGAGCAGTATATTATATATGTGTATTTTAATCCTTTGATCCCTGAAAAATCTTGAAAACCAAGTGAAAAACTAAATTATTAAAGCAAATTATACTTCAGAGGGCTAATAATTACACTGTCCTCTGGGGTTATCCCCATTTCTTATGTCTCCTGCTTCCTCTTCTCTCACCTGTGGTTAGAATGTAAGTATCTTCGAAAGTGCCAAACAGGGCTCCCTCATTCCACATTCATTTCTCATTATTTAACTTCTGTGATTTTCGTGTAGGTCCCTCTATGTTGAGGGATTGAGCCCAGGGCCTCACACATGCTAGGCACACACAC